TTTTTCAGGTTAATTATTTGCACTATATAGGCGGTTTCAACTTAAAAGAAACGGTAAATCTTTGTCTAAAGGAGGCTTTGAAGGATTCGTTGACACCGTCATTTACATGGTGGGGGAGCCGCGAAGGACGACCATTATATTGCACTCGGTTAATTGTTGCGATTTACGGTACAAATCTCTTCCTTTTTCTACATACATATATAGGCATTTATCATCATGTTTAATTAATTAATAGTATATATTTCGTTCCTTTTACAGAAGCCGTATGCAAAAACCGACACTTTGAGAAACCGACTCGTTCAGAGTTTCAAACCCAAGCGAAGGAAGCTCTCCGGGCTGCGAAAGAAAGGGCTAGGAACAAGTTGCGGGGTCCACGTGCGCGAATGCCGAGGAATCGCCATTTTTGGGACGATCAACCGTTGGAACGAGAACAAGAAGAGGCCGTAAATAATGATTATGGTAATTATTTGTAAATAATTATAAATAATGTACAATAAGAGTAATGCTACATATGCGCGCAGTACACACATATAATAAAATGGAATTTATTTACCTTTAGTTACAGGTACGCCTGCAGAAGAGGTTGCTAATGTCCACCAATGTAGCAAACAATGAGCTCGAGACTACTGCAGCGTCGAATAACCACAGAGAAAGAAAAAGGAAGAAATATTTATCGGCATTTTTCAATGCCAATATCAGTCTCAGTAGATACTATAAGCTGTACGAAGAAGCTTTCGGTCCCAACTCGATGTTTAAAATCGATTCAAATAATTGTTATATCCATCAGTTATATCCAGTGATACCGGAAACAGGCCGTGGTTCACTTGTAGAGCAGATGGAAATAGTACGTACGTTATTCAGAATCACGTGTATGTAAAGCGCCCCCGAACATGTACGTGGCTCTGTTTTTTAGCGTGCGGATCCTTTTCATCTGTTTCACAAGTTATACTCGCAGCCCGTTTCTAGTATCACTGGATATATTGAAATAATTGATTTCAAAATTAATTATTTTGGAATAATAATTACTTGACTCGATTTTATATATCTAGTCGGGATTAGAACTTCCTCGCACAGCTCTAGTGGGAGACTAATCGGCACTTTTCAGTGCCTATTTTAATTGATCCTACGGGAATGCTCTCAATTTGTAATTGGCCTGTTTTTATTAATTTTATTAAATGTTTGTCGATATATTTAAATTAGCATTTTTCAATGCTATTTTTTGTTAAATATTTTTATTTACATTTGCAGCATTTTTCTGAAATATTTACTGTTAAAGTTTCTTTGATAGTTAATATTATAGAAAAATGCTGCAATTAACATGATAATCTTACAGCATAATATTTTCCATTTATGTAATGTCTGTTTGTGTAGCGTCATATTCAGTAACAGTGCGATATGCAAAAATACATTACAGTAATTTTTTTCTTGAGATAGAAATTTTTTAATATTATAATTCTTTCTGTTTAGATCTATGAAGGTGAGGCCGATAAGGAGAACTTCTGAGAGGATCACCTTTTCATTTGGAAGACCAGAGGGATACTTATGGAAGACGATAATA